TACTGCAATCAATGAAATTGATTGTTCTGGGACACTATAAATGTCTATGTAAAAGTAATTATGTCACGACCTGCCGCGACACAAATAGAAGTTCTTCCTGGTGGACCTATTTTTGGGATCGTCGGCGTTGAATTACGAAAGTCGTAATTCAACGGGCTGTATCAACGAGTTGCAACTGAATGAGAGGGAAGAAAAAGATAGCGACGGAATGGGAAGAGTCTCTACGAAAAAAGAGACATGGAGGGAAGAAAAAAACATTTAAATTTCCAATGGACGTGCTGAATGGATTCCGTGCCGGAACTACTTCGGATGAAAACAGAAACAAAACAATGTTTTTATAACCCAGTGCCAAGAATACGAGCTATAAGCTGATTCGGTCGATGACGGTATCACTCAAGATTGTTACGATGCCTATTAAACTTGTACGAGGGATCAATCATTTATTTCTGTAAGGCTCGATTGTACCAACGTTATTTTAACTTCAAACGAGGTTAAATATCTCTCTCTTTCTCTCTCTCTCTCTCTCTCTTGATTTTAAAAAGAGAGAGAGAGTTTTAAGCTTCACTTAAAGTCAAAGTAACGTTGATGCAATCAAGTCTAAAAGAAACTATATGTCAGAAACATCAAGAAATTTCAATCTTCAAGAAGAATCAATCTTCTATGTTATTTCTATCTCCAGAATTTAAGAGGCGGAAACAAATTATATTTCGAAAATTTCTTCCTCGGAACGTCAAATCATTTTTAGAATTATTAATAAAATATAGAATTAGCTCGCTTTCATTAAATAATGAAATTAGAGCTGTCAATAAAGAGATATCTTTAAAATTTCTCTCTCTCTCTCTCTCTCTCTCTCTCTCTTTCAAATATTCAATATTTAGATTATATTTTAAAAATTGGAAATTTAATCTTCTCACAGCAAATTTCTGCATTAAAATTTCATAAAATAATCTGTGAATAAGTAATATAAATAAAAAAAATTTATTATAATAATACTTTCAAATTTTTTAGAGTTGACTAATTTATTAATTTTTTTAAATTAATTAATTAAATTATAAATTTAAGAATTTATTAGGTGTTGGAATTAATTCGTAGCGTTTTACAAGTGATGGGAAGTACTTTCATTAATGTATTTTTTAATGCTCATGTGAAATAAATAACATTCTTTCATTAAAAACGCTACGAATTAATTCCAACACCTAATAATAAAAACTTGATCGTGCGTTATATCAAATTCACGGAAAATTCCAGCTTTTAGTAAATATTTCATTGAATACAAAATAATAGTAAATGAATCATTATTTTTAAAAACGACTCTTTAACGATAACAAAGAGGCGTTATGTCATTATCTCGATTTTTAAAAATTTGCGGCTTCTCTGAGTGACTATTCAAAAATATCATACTATAAAGCAAGGTGCATTTTGTGTGTCGCCTACGCGAGTTCGCGAATAAGCGGGATAACGCACAGCAGTTCACGAAGTGCCATTCGCAGAACAACTTGTAAACGAGTCGTGGAGAATCGATTCGACACGTCTTCGCATGGAGAATTGTTGGCACGCCGAGAAAGAGGAAGAGGAGAAAAATCCCGATGTTCCCGTCCTTCCACTTAGGGACATATCTCTCTTTCTCGTTCTCGAGAGCCACTGTGGATAATTGGGTCCGCACCCACGAGAAACTCTCTCTGTTCTTCCTGAGGTCTCTTTTTCTTCTACTTTCACGCTCCCACGAACTTTTTCGATCTGACACATATGGCGGTGCACAAGAATGCGCGACACGCGCGGTCGTCGTACACATGGTTAAATAATATATATGCTAGAATACAAAACGCGATCGTGCAAGATAAATACAATTAGGATACTGTTTCATGGATTATACATTTATACGATTATACATTTATACATCCTTAATCGGGTTTAATAACATCCATAATTATAAAACTGGCCAGTCATAGTCATTCCGTTCTTCTAAAGAATAGCTATGATTGCAATTTCATAATTATTATAAAATTATTATAAAAATGCCGTGTAAACATAGTCATTGTTTTAATCTCTTAAAATATTATAATAAAAACAATGATTTTGCTAAAGTTTAAAAAAAATTTCAAATCATATAGAAAAAGTGGCTTTGATCAAATTGACTGAAACTGTAGTGATATTTTGTAGATTATGAGATGTTGATCAAAAATTTCCTTAGGCAATATTTTTTTACACAGAATAATGAGATATAAATCAATTACATTTGTAAACAAAACACATAACTGCTTTATGAAAAAAGCAACAGTTTACAAACTGCACATTTTTTTAAAAGCAACTACGTGTTTTTTTAGATCAATTGATTTATCTCATTATTCTGTGCAAAAAAGTATTAAGGTAGGTACAGTTAAAAATGAGTAGTTTAGCAGATAAAAATATTTTTCAATATACAATTAGACCCAAAGTAACAACTTTCAAATGTTGTTACAGCAAAATTTATCCATTTTTTACAATTTTACTCTTAAGGAAACTTTTAATCAGTATTTCATAATTCACAAAATATTTACAAATATAGTTTCCAATGTAACCGAAGCCACTCGTTCTATATGAGATTTGTATGGGATTCTTTAACTAGATACATAAATCTAAAAATAATTTTGTTGGACCATCAAAGTTACATAGAAAGCATCTGCAAAAAGTTTTAACATTCCAGCAACCGGTTTGAGCGTCCTACAGAATTATTTTTACTAAACTTTTAGATACTTTAGCAAAACTATACTTTTTGTTAAAATGTACGAAACCATCTTTGATTTTTGAAAAATTGAATTTGAAATTTCAAATAATGAAATATTTTAAAATAATATATAATATTAAAGAATAATAATTAATAATGTACTAATTTAATTCACCTTTCTTTGGCTCCTCGTCTTTTTGTAGATTTAAACTGCATGTAAATGCTTTGGGATTCTCTCTCTCTCTCTCTCTCTCTCTCTCTCTCTCTTTCTCTTCTTTTTCAGCACTATTACTCACTTTTAGAACTTCCTTTATCCCTGGTAAAAATAAAAATTGGAATGTAAGTGGAATGTAAGAGAAGAATAACAGAATTAAAAACAGAATTTACAGAAGACGAAAATTGAGACAACGAAAAGTAAGTCAAACATTTATGTTTCGTTGCACAAATCATTCTAGCAATATCACAGCAATATTACAGCAATGTTGCTACAATCTTCTGTACTGTGTGGATAACTATTTAAGTCATACTTGTTAACAATATTTATTCATTTTATCACAAGTAGAAATGTTTCTAACATATCTTATTTAACGGACATTTGAAATAGTTCATTAGTAAAATGCCAGAAATTTAGACCCCACTCAAAATCACAAATAATTTGAATAAAATATTAGAACTTATATCTTAATGAAATAGTATAAAACATACAATAATAAATAATTAATATAATAATAAATAATCGTAATTATATTGTATAAAAAAATTAGCATTTCTAAATTTCTATGGTAATTAGATTTATTAAAAAAGCATCTTGAGATTGACTTACTTCAAAGATTGTTCAATAATCAATGCTTATCAGTACACAAATTTACTTTTAATTTTCGCAATATTCGGAAAATATTGATACATTTTTATTCTTAATAGATATTTTTCGGATGATTTTTCGTGATGCGTCTCGTCTGTCATGTCGCGTTATTTGCATTAATTGCGATTTATACAAAATGTCTCGTAAATTTTGACTAATCATTTTTGTGTAAATAGAGCTGATTAAACTGAGTCAATTTCAAAAAATCCTCTACCATTTTACAATTTTTGCAATGCTTAACGAGATATTAATTATTAAAAATTGCCAAAAATTGATATTCAATAATTTTTCACTCAAATATTGTACTATCAACTTTCCAGAAAAACTGCAAGAAACAAAAATTGTTTATTTTCTTCTTATAGAACTCTAAGAATTTTTTCAGAATTGTGTATCAACTTTTTAGTATTGCATTTTCTTATTTTTACCAACATGAGAAAATATGGTATTAAAAAATTTTTTTAAAATTCTAAAAAAAAAATTCTCAGAACTATATGAGAAGAAAATTAATGATTTTGATCTCTAGCAGTTTTTCTGTAAAGTTGATAATATTTGAGTAAAAAAATTATTCAAGAACAATATTTAGCAATATTTAGTAATTAATATTTCTATATCTTGTTAACTATTGCGAATAGAAAATTTTCTTCCCCAACCTAATATTTAAATACATATAGAAACATAGATAATGAATGAAGATTAGTAAGCAATTATTAAAATCTCTTCTTTGTTGAATTATTGTTTTCATGTATATTTGTAGAATATTGTATGTAATAATCTTTTTAATAATTCGCATTGCAAATAATTTTCGTACTATGAAAACATATTGGTCCTAGAATATTACGTTTTAATACGACCGGGCATGCCAAGTTTTTTCTTCATTGTAATCGAGTTGACAATTTTAGTCACTTTCAGTCTATCTTATGTATCTTGTATAATACTTGTCTATTTATTTCAGATTCGTTTTTTATTAAAAACAACACCTTTTTAATGCACTTAGTGTATATTTAAAAAAAAATTTTGTTAAGGGATATATTCAATTTTTAAACAAAAAATTTTTAATATTAGTTAAATATAAAATGCATCTTGTTAATGTTACATTTAATTTTTTTTTGTCTTTTCTTAATAAATATTACTAATACTTAACAATTATAGGATATTGAAATAAGGAAATCGTGAAGGAACAGATCTATATTTTTTATATAGCGTTTATAAAAACTTTTAAACAATAAATGCTTTCAAAAAATGCAAGTGATCGTAATACCAATAAGAAGTGAAAATCACACTATTAATTATTAACAATGCAAAATACCTGCAAATTCTCAAAGTTTTACATTTTCTGTATATATAAGTACATATTATGTAAATTTCTAGAATTTGTAGAGAATTGCAATTGAATATCGTGTGAATTTTTTGATTAATAAATGCTTGAATGAAATCTTCAAAAAATTGCAAGTATATTCTCTTGATGTGCTAAATATATAAAAATTCTGTATATAACCATTCAAAATACAGAGTTCTATATACAGTACAAATAAATTATTTCCCAAGCCTATTTCCCAAGTCTCTAATTTTCTATGGTTCTGTTGATTCTTGTTGTTCAAACTTGGGATACTTTGTTTCCACTTCCGTCCAAGTAGTCCTTCCATAGGAAAGATCCCTCATAACACTGGGCAATTCGTCCAACTGTCATTAAAAATTTTTTATTATTCTAATATAATGAAAAATATTTTTTCTTGATATGTCTGTTAATGATAAAAGAATTATTAAATTTTGCTTCTAGACTAATTAAAATTTATACACATATAATATAAATATCACCCAAATTATTCTGCAAATATACTGAAAAAATATACGTACATTTATCCTAACTTGTCCCATGCTGTCTCTGTCTCTAAGAGTTGCACTGTGCGGCATCTTCAAAGTGTCAAAGTCAATGGTAATACCGAATGGTATCGCTATTTCGTCGGTACGAGCATATCTGCGTCCTATGCTACCAGAAGAGTCATCCACTTTGTGCGAAACGTCTGCCTTTGTAAGATCTTGCGCTGTAAAACATTACATTCTTTCATTAAAAACGCTACGAATTAATTCCCCAACACCTAATATATATATATATATATATATATATAATTTCAGATCTATTATCTTTATTATGTTTTCAATGAAAACAGAGCAAAAAAAAAGATTTTGTCTAAGAATATATCAATGTAATAATCAAATTCGTATGTTTCACTTACATAACTTTTTCACGAATGGCACAAATTCGTCATTGCCACTGAGTGGTAACACCGAACATTTCAATGGTGCTACAACCGGAGGTAAGGAGAAATACGTTCTCTTCTCATCACCTTCTCTTGCCTGGAAATTATGTTCAAACAGAGCATGCATGATACGACCGATACCAAAAGAAGGTTCAATAACCGAAGGTGTAATCTCTTCCACGTGAACAATTTTCTGATAACGCTTTACTTCTATCATGTCTTTGGTGATCTTCACAACGACGTTGTTAGGCAGTGTCAGTTCATATTCTCCCTTCTCGTTGAGAACTCTCTCTAAGGACTCAATCTCCTTCTTGTTTAAAGCTGCTAATGCATCTTGCACAACTTTGCTATCCTTTTTAAATGTTTTACCGATCAACACCTTGTTCGGCATAATCTCGCAAACATCTACCGTTTTTGGAGCGGGCAGTTTCTTCTCAGCTACCAATTTCACGCCGGTCGCCTTAGTATGCTGCGTTAAATCATAGGCCGACCGATCGGCGCATCCTACGCATTCAATCCATCCGTAAGAAGTAAGACACTCAGCGTCCCAGCAGTCACAGGCGTAATGTGCCATTTCGTTACTCATATGTTGGCGGAAACGTAGACGGTTCGAATCGATGCCGATTTTCAATAGGAACTGATGGATCCTGGCCATGAAGTAGCCCAGCGTCTCGTTCGCCACCAAGCCAGACGAGACGGCCTCGCCTATGGTGAGACGCTGCGCACTTTTTCCGTCCATTTGATTGCAAGCTGAATACAACAGCATATCCACGTCTTTGACTGTCTCGAACTTCGGATGACTTTTGTCGCTCGGGTCGCAGAAATGCTCGATTTCTGCCATGGTGAATTCTCGGACGCGTATAAGTCCTGATCGTGGCGAAATCTCATTTCTGAAAGCGTTACCGATCTGCGCCGCAGCAAACGGTAGTCGCTCCTGATTGAATGCCAATAATCGTTTGAAGTTCACAAAGATACCTTGGGCCGTTTCTGGTCTCAAGAAGCCTTTGACGAGCCCTGTTGGACCAATTTGAGTACCAAACATCAAATTGAATTCTATCGGTTCTGTCAAATCGTTACTAGAAACCGGCGATTTCATATTGTATTTCAATAACACTGCGGCCATCTCGTCCTTCGTCATACCATCTAGCTTGATGATGATGTCCCTGCATTCCTCGCGCGTTTTGTCATTTGTTTTCTTATCACAAATTACTTTCTCTAGGTGCGCTTTAATCAAGTGATCCAGCCGGAAGCACTCGCCAGTCTTCACATCCTTCACCATCAGATCAGCGAATCGCTCCACGTGGCCAGATGCTTTTAGCACCGGCTCAGGTGTCAAAATGGAGCAATCGACTTCCAACATCTGTTCTTCCAGTACAAAGAAATTTCTCCAGGCGTTTATCAGATTTGTCTTCAAGGAGCAACCCATGGGTCCAAAGTCATACTGACCAGTAATACCACCATAAATCGCAAAAGACTGATCTAAAAAAAATCTACGTTTCAAAAGATCTTCCATTCTGGCTCTATCAAATGTTACATTGCTGGAAGCTAGAGACAACTCTTTGTCTTCTAGTATTTTTTTGCGCAGCTTCAGCTCGGCTACAGCTTTTTTGATGTCTAATTCTGGAGCACCTTCAGTTTTCAGCTTCCGTACATAGTCACCCTATAAAAAATAATAAGTTATATAGCACAAAGAGATTACCAAAGATAGACTAAAGTATTTTGCTATTCTATAAAATTTTGAAAGTACTTGTCAGTTTGAAGAGAGTAAAATCTCTCACTATTAAAGATTAAAAATTGAACCATTTTTTTCAAGACTGGCTCAATTTTGCTCTTTAGAGTAAGATTCTACTTTAAAGAATTGAATAAGCATTAATACTGACAATACAATCTGTAACAGGCATATGAATCCTGCTCTACTGAAAAAATCATATCACAACGTTACATGATGAAATTATGTAATTAAAACATGTAAATCACGTAAGGGATTGTTCCAAATCAGTACGTGATTTTTTAAAATCACGTAATTTGAAAAATTACAATATGTTAAAAATAATTTCATCTATTATGTGATTTTATAGTTGTCGAATTTTAAAGAATTGAATGATAGAAATAGAAGAAAAAAGAACATATATATCATCATGTAATTTTTCAAATTGTGTAATTAAAAAAAAATACATACTGATTTGGAACAATCTGTTCCGTAGTTTACATGTTTTAATTACACAATTTCATCATGCAACTGCGTGATGTGATTTTTTTTTTTTCAATAGAGTAGTGATCCTAGAAATAGATTTATCTTATAATTATTGTATATTTTTCAGTTTTTTTCCTCTATTCATGTGAGTTAATTATCATACTATATTTATGCTAAATTCGAGTATATTAGTGTAATTTTTTTACAGCTAAAACTTTTCTATATGACGTAGTATTTTCTAAATAACACTTAATAGTACAAAGACTTCACAGAAAATTCATTTTTAAATGTGTTCCTGTACGGGCTAAAAAAAAACCTCGACAAGACACACAGTCCCTATTTTGCATGTCCATATGGCACTCACTTGTTCCTTAACGCTCGCTCGGAGCGGCGCTAGGACTTCCTCGATTTTAGGATCCGTCATGTCAAGCGCGAGGGCGATCTTCAGGTTCCTGTTCGTCTTCTTCGTGCCCCACCGGCTGAAATCGAGAAGACTGGCAGTGGCCGCGACACTTCTGACAGATGGTTTTGTTAGTGGAACGTCGCTGGACACGCGGTGCACCGCAACTCTACGTGCGATATAATGCAAACCACGCCTGAGAAGCCGCATTCGCCGCGAGAGTGATTGTACGGTATATATGCACCTTCACACGCGCCATGCGGTTCCGCGCTGTGGCTTGTTATAGGTTATTAAGGTTATTCGGGGTGCCGCGTCGAAATCGTACGTCACTGATAGCTCTTGCGCGGGAAATTGAAATCCATACAACTTTAATTAAAAATCAATGATTTGACGAAAGTTTGCGTGACTATTAAAATTTAGCTTTAAATTTAATACTACAATTTTAATATTTTTTTATATATTAATTTCATTTATATATAATATAAATTTATTTATATATTAATTTTATTATTTATACCAAATATATCAATTTTATTATAATATTAATAATTAATAATTATTTTATGATATATTAATTATGAATAATTAATAATTATTCATCATTATAGTCCAAATAGCCAAGTCTGTAGAAAGCAGATTTTTTTTAATGTCTGCTACGCACTATACCAACAAAATAACAACATAATTAGATGTACATAATACTATTGACAGATTGTTAGAAAAAACGTAACAGAATCTGCAAGCATTATCAGATAATGTCGGTAAGATTTGCTCAGTTTCTGCCAACAATTTGCCTTCACATTATGTGGACAGGTGATGTTAATAGAACACAAGCCTAATGCGGATGCAGTTGATGCAGACTACCGTCATTTTCTGCTCGAATCTGCTGACAGTTTGCTAGAAAACTGCAGACATTTTGCTATCTAGATATATACTTGTTTATTTTGCAACTGTATTTTTATTGATATCTTTCCAAAAAAAATTATTAAAGAAATTTATTTAATAAATTATTGTTATATTTTAGTATCTTACAAAACACATATAATGTTCTTTTAAAAAGCTACACATATGTATTATGATTTTGAGCAATAATGAAATAATAATTAGATACATATGTTATATCACTTCAATTTATGTGCATATTAATATTAAAAAATAAAATTTTACTCTTGAACTTACTTTATAAAAAATATCTAACTATATATTTATTCGTACTGACTACAATAGCAATATTCTTCTAAGATTATTTATCAACAGTTAAATAATACTGCAATGAAAACCATTGTAACTCTATGTATCACATATAATTATATAATTTCTGAATTCAACTGTTTATTTAAAATTAATTAAAATTAAACTGCTTATTAAAAATATGCCTTGCTTCTAAATGGAACAAAGAAATAAATAAATAAATATATATGATTTTTATTTTATGTAACGTTACGAATTTCAAACTAACCGCAAAAAACAGGCTCGTTTGATATCCGAATACTTTTATTTCATTAATTAATTATCTCATCTTAATTATCTCACATATACCATAGCGCAGTTTATAGAAAAATTACAATGAGAACGCGAAGCTGTTAGAAAAAAAATGAAGAAAAGGAGGCTGCGACACGAAGCATTGTTAATCCTCCGCTGATAAATTTATTATAACTCTTCAATAAACCCAACCTACGTGTAACATGCATTTAATCGTCCTAATATACAGGCGAAGAGCGTGGGTCGCGAAAATCTTTTATCACGTCGATGCAGAATTTTGGATTGAAAGACAGGTCTCACGCTTATCAGACCAATTTGTTCGCTTAATAATCCCATAATGTCGACTCCGCATAAATTATATCTCTTACGATATTATAAACATTTACGTGGACCGCGGCACGTGTATTTTCGCCGCATGCTGAATGCGACCGTCTGACGCTCCTTCCAGATTTTCGCGTCATCACAAAAAATTGCGCTATAATTAAATAAATTAAATCAGATTTATTGAATGCCATATCATTTATTGAATTGTCGGGAAATTTTCTTGCATAAATAATGTTCCTCAAGCAAAACAAGTTAAAATGACATTAAAATCAATCGTTATATTCGTTGTCGATCAAAAAGTGACTTTTAGCAATCATCATTCTCACATCTTTTTAATGTCATGACTTGTATTCTGCTTGAATTTCTTTCGATATCCCGAAGTGTAGTATGTCACGAAAATCCGCTTTTAAGTCTTATATCTCAATCTTTAATTTCTAAAGTTCTATGATTCCTTTTTTTTTACAATTTCCTAGATTTCTTGAACTAATAAGATTCGTCTATTGGACGATGTCTTAAGAAATTTCTCAAGAAATTTTCTGAACAAAAATAGCCTCTAATTTTTCAAATCAGACGGCCGTATTTAAAGATACAGCGAAAACACAGGCCTGTAAGATAATTCCTGTTTTTAGATGTAAGGATGAATGTTATAAAAAAAAACAAATATACGCGCATAATAGACTCATTCTCTCTCTCTTTTCTCTCTTTCTCTCTCGCTTTGCATATTAATATAGTATGTGCAAAATAATCTTCTCATCATTGTGTAAACAATTTATTTTACATAAGGGTAATACTCTGACATCGAAAAAAAGCGATAATAATGGCTAATGTATAATAATAAATAAAGTATGAAATGTAAATAATGGATATGTACAAGTATGTAAATGGCAAAAAAGCTATAACAGAGATGAAATCATTGTTTTTCTTCTGCAAATATATGAGCCGCTTGTTCTGAGAGTGGCGCAAGTCGATTCTCGAAAGTATCACTGTAGAAGTGCCTGTATCGCTTTGTTTGTTCATTTCATTAGAAATATTATAGGATTTCATTATTCACTGTGAGTATTGAAAATATATAGCTCGCTATACTATTACTATAGATTTTCGGTTATTTGCAGTGAATAACAAAACATAACTATGATATAATTCTATATAATTGTATATATAATAAATTATATATATAATAAATTATATAAAATGATATAATTCTATATAATTGTATATATATATAATAAATTATATAAAGAATTATATAATGAATTATATAAATTATCCATATAATCAATTACATTAATCAATTAAGATCATTAACCATTACAAGAATATCAAGTCATCGACGATTTGTATTCGTAATCCACATTTAGCTTCAGATAATTAACGTGAAACATCAAATGCGATTATTGTTAAGTTTCGTAAACGGAACTCAAAGCCGGGTCGTCGCGTTCAGCGCTTAAGACCGCATTTCCGGTTTGCGACATCGAGGATGATCTTTATGTTACATGAAACAGAATTCGATAGCCGCATTCTAGGGGTGGACAGATCAGTGACGACCCGCAAAAATCCTAGATATTTGGAACTCCGCGACCGCTTTCAGAACAACGATACAACTCTCGGCTCCTCTCTCGCGCGCGTTCTTACGCGATGGTCTCCCTGTCGCCTGTTCGCAAGGGATTGCACAGCTTACTTGAGCGTCGCGCTTAAACGTAACACCTGTACACTTAGAACCTACGAAACGTACGGCTGCGACGCGTCCCAAGTAAACGAGGGGCCGAGGGAAGATGAAGGGTGGGAACATCGTGTCTCATCGCGCGGCAAACAGACAACACCGAGACCCATCACAGGAGACATAGTATTACTAATCATATATCCAGCATGAACGCTTATCTCGCTAGAATAATTCGTCTATAATCAGAGGTATTCAACCTGGAGTGCTCCTAATTAAAGGGGCGCCGAGGACTTTCGCGCTTTAAGAGGATCTGCAGACGCGATCTGTTAAAAAAGAACTTTGGTAAGTACGTGTGTATAAAAAAAAAAAAGAATACAAATATTTCACATTCATAGCATTATAAAGAATTTCTATGGGAAGAGTTATTGTTTCTTCCTCTTATAAAAATTTAATATTGGAAGGTAACGATTAATTATTTATTTTGAGTATATCAAAAACACTGTTGTGTTTATAGTGCTCAAAATAAATTTTCAATATTAAATTAACCAGTACTTGGATTTCTGAATCCATTATTATCTTAAAACGTACGACGAAAACTTGGTGCGGTATTAAACGGGAAGATAAAACATTTCATAGGAAAAAAAAGTTCTATAAAAGATCCCTTGAGATGTCTTCGGAAGAATATAGAAAATTCTAAGGGAGGAGAGAGAAAAAAAATATATCTTCAAAGGGGGATACTTTCGGGATTGACAAGGTTGAAGAGGGTTGAATACCACTGGTCTATAATAATGTATACAGGGAGCACCATGATAGACCCGTGCGCGCCTCTGCGTCCCACTTGGAAAAACGGATTAGTCATCTCGTGCATCCGATTGACTTACGCTAACGTAAATGCAACAATTTCGACCGAGTGTCGCGTGGACGGGTCGGGAGGAGAACCTCCGGACCCGTCCGCGAAATTCCCGCCGAAGCCAAGATCAGGCGACTTCGATTCCGGGCAAGAGCGTGCAGCGCGAATTCGACACGAGATTAATAATAAAATATCACAGTTCCGAGTCTGAAGAGTCGCTCCTGAAAATCATGGCTCTCCCCTTAACGCTTATATTACGCGTCCGAGAGACGGCGAGTTCCTTGCTTTTTTCCCTTCTTTTTTTTCATAAGTCGTAAGACATTCCTAGTTAACAACAATCCTACGCTCTACTGTAAGATTATCTATTTCGGAAACCGTAACGTTTAATAGTATAATACGTAGTCCATATACAACTCGCTAGGGATGCTGTAAACTGTAATTTACTGGCTGCTAAATGTTCCATGAATACTGTATGTACGTATGTGTTACGCGTTTAAATGTATGTGAAAAATGGTTTGAAAGAGACGACACGTAAACGCGGCGTGACGTGTACCGCGAAGAACAACAACTGATTTCGGCGTTTATCGAGAAAGAGTATAAATATGATGCGCATTGTGAAAGAAAGAGTATATTTACGGAAGAGTGATGTATAATGCAAATCAAACTTGATTCTGTATGATCCACCACTTTCGCCCTGAAATCCTTTCGAACAAAATTATCTAATTTATTACTTAAACAATGAATAATATATCTAAATAATATCATTATCATCTAAACAGAGACTTCGAACTAAATATAGTTTCCTGGAATTCCTGATAATAATTCCATTCGATGTATCGCAAAATAAAATCTCAGAATGAAATTAAAATTATTAGAAACTGGAAAAAAGCACAGTTCAAGTGAAAAAAAAACGGAGGATTTTATGATACAGATCTTTAAAGAAACAATTTCAGGGTAAAAGCATCGAATTACCAAGTGAT